GGCAGCGTCACCACAACGGGATAAACTTGTGGGAAAAGGGCCCACAATCACTAACAGGGAATTCTGCTCTGTCTAAAAACAGCATAGCTGCAAAAATCTCAGATACCATCTACCACAGGACACCACAAGGTCCCCTAAGGTAAAATAGATCTTAGCCTTCTCTTCCAAACACATCAAACCAGAAATAGATTCTAGGTTTGTTTTTTTAATTTTTGATTATTTGAGATTTTTTTTTCTGCGATACAAATTGCTTGCAGCTTTTTCCCAGGGAAACAAACTATTTTAAAACACTTTCTCCCCTCCACTCTCTGTGTATATTAGGAAAGACCTATTTTAAGTAGTAGAAGCCACTAATTATTATTTTTTTTAGGTTTCAGAACAAAGAGGGGTGGGTATTTGTTGAGGCCTTTTAGGATCCTTAGAAAGTAGGATTATATTTCCTGGGGGTATTTTTTTGTGTGTAAATGCTACATATTTCTGCTTGTGGCTAAAATCAGACAGGAGGAAGGAAAAGTCCCAAATATAAACCATCAGGTAAAGCATAAAACTATTCAAAGCACACAGTACATGTTTGGTGCAGCTCATTGGTTCCTTTATATATGATTGGACTCCTCTTTACATGGAAACCCAGAGGAAAGTGAGGCTGAGGAGAGGATCCTTTTGGAGGTAAGAGATGCTGTATTTGAATCTAGGACTATGAGCAAAACAGTGATGGCTCTCCAGGAGGTCTATGGCAGAAGTGAACAGGAAAAAGGAGTTGAAGGGAAAAGCTCTATGAATTTTACTCTATGTTTCTAAACTCTGAAGGCAAGGAGAGAACATTTGTATAAGGCAAAAATTGGAAAAAAATACAAAAAGGAAAAGAACTGGAGTGGCTGATCTAATCCATAGCTTTCTCTTTTGATGTTCCTATATATGTCTTTTTTTTTTTAAGAGGAGGAAAACCTACAAAGCTGGAAGGAGGAGCTCTAATCCACCGAGGGTACAGCCAGGTTATAAACCAGCTACACTGCTCAGAACTCGCTGGATTTTGGGTGCATGATTATCCTGGAGGAAATACATGTTTATAATTTAGCTTCAGGATTAAAATAACCAGTTGGGCAGAGGAAAAATAAGACATCAGTTGACAATAAAAGCCATCAGGACTCTGCTATACAGCATGAGTGTTGGTTTGGTTATTGAAATACAGGCAACAAACACTGAAAACATTGACTTTAAGTATGGTGAGGAAACCTGGTGGTGCAGGCAGAGGCTGGAATGTTCTTATGGCGTTTAGCTCTGCCTCCCCTCCTCTCAGTTTTTTCTTCTTTAACTTGAATTACTACTTCATAGAATCCATTTGTATTTCCACATTGTTTCGAAGCTGGTAGATGGAAAAGAACTAGGAAGGAGGTTATTGTATGAGCGTGGGTTGCTTTTTGGTGTGGGTTTTGTCTTTTCTTTTTTTTTTAATGAAAGTGAAATGGGGCTGGAGTGTGGGAAATTCTCCCTCAGCAGTCACTTAACAAATTGGCCATTTCTCATCTACTTTGAGCGGGGAGAAAGGCTGTCAAAGAATTTTAAAGGAAAACACTGCAAAATGTTATTAATTGAAGAAAGATTTTTGGCCTTCATTATTCCAACCAGTGAAAGCAAAATTCATGCATCATAATTTGGGATACTGTTTCCTAAAAAGGCCATAATGAGTAAAACTAGACAGACAGAACATAGAGCAGGAAAATACTGAGGTATGGAAAAAAAGCAAAGCCTGGATACTGCGACCCTGTCAACAGTCAAAATTTTCAACACATACATTTTTAATTTGCATTTCATTTAGGAATACAAGATTTACTATCATGATTTAACCATTACTCAACTAAACCAAGGGGGACCCGAACTATTTCTTATAGAACAACACACATACACGCTCTTGGATCTTCCTCCTGCCTGTAGTCAGACTATTTGTTGTATTACAACATACATTTGTTCCACACATGCAGCCTTTACTGAAATATCACTGGAGTCTTAACCAGAATTGTGGCATCCAAGCCCACAGAAGTGATGAGGGATTCAGGATACCTGCCTGGCAGTGCTGCCAGACCCTGCCTGCCTCTCCTGCTGATAAAAGCAGGAATCAGCACTAATTGAGCTGGGCACCTTTAACCAACAGCCTGCATGTTACTGCAAACATCCCCAGATGATCAGTACTGAAATGTTCCAGTGCTCACTCTTGAATTAACGTGGGGTTTAACTACAGCACCTGCTGAGAAATCCCGTAGGTACCCAGAACCAACAACTCCTGCATAATTACGCTGATAAAAATGTATGGTCTGGATTTGTTCAGCCACAAAACCTAGCCAGTGACCCTTTTAAAGAAATTTCTGTTCTCCATGCAAGTGTTGGTGAGAAAAAAAAAGCTTGCTCTCTCTACCTACTCCTTGTGAACAACAGAACTAAGTACAATATTTGGGCACAAGACAAAGGGATATTACCTCCATTTTCTGTCCCACTGGATACACCCTAAGGATGTCTGTGCCCCTTAAAGCAAAGTCTCACATCCAGAGCTCACTGTCCCCCAGGCTACTTCACAGGAAAACTGCTTCCCTGGACAGTCCTCTCTGCCATCCATTCTTTGTTCATTCAAATAGAGATCAAATCCATACAAAGCTTCTCCATTCCTACCATTCCTGTGCAGCACTGAAGTCACCTGCACCTACTTTCTCTTTTTTAAATGGATAATGATATTCCTTCAGTATAAAAGGTTTTATCTGAAGAGAACATACACAGAGATGCCCTGGATGTCACAGCAGACTTCAGTCAAACTATTTGGTCAATAGATCCCTCTCTTTCCAGGTCAGGCACACAAACCCTTCCAAAGTGTGTCTCCATGACTTGCCTCTGTGCTTCCATGGCATTTCCTCGGCTGCTGCTCAGCCAACTGAGCAACTTCACATGATTTCCAACCTCTCACATTTGGATTCAACTCTTAGAGGACCCTCAAAACCATAGCTCAGGTTTGCTTGGCTCGTATGTGCTTTAGTCTGGCTGATGGCTTCAGTTCTCCCAACTCTTTTATGCTGCTCCCTCCTTTGTGCTCCAAGGCCAGGTGTGGCTCTGAGGGTGTTTCAGCCCAGGCAGCTGCTCTGCAGTCAGTGCTTCCAGCTGATTGATCAGGCTGGATGAAACATCCCCCTCCAAAATGGAAGGAAAGCAGGTGAAGGCAATTCTTGTATCACAGTTCACTAAACTCTTCCTATTTTAAGAACATGAACTATTGGAACCTTTCGGATTCTGTTTTAAGCAACATCCCCCTATTTTTGCAAACTTTTCCACTTATGATTCACATTATATTTTCCAGAAGTATTTCCTTCTTTTCTTCAAAAATTAATTTTGTTTAATTGCAGCCCAACTTAATGCCTGCACTGTTAGCAGGTGCTTATGTGTGCAAATGCTTATTGTGTGGCATATACAGGTGTGTGTGATGCCATGTGGCAAGATGGGCCTGGTATTTCACAAACCATTCAGGTGAAGAAAAAAAAAAACAAACCAAAAAACCACTGGAAGATGATTAAAAATATTTCAAAACTGGTTTGAAGTATCATATGAGTTCTCTTGCCCTTATCCAGATGGCCATTTGAGAAAAAAAATCCCAATGTACTTCTTTCCTATCTTTTTTTAATCTGAAAAAAAAAATAAATTCTGCAATAATCCTGTGGAAAGGAAGGCACATTTGCATATATGCTGGACTCAGTTCCTTACTATAGATGTGTTTTGGCTGGGCAAATATATTTCCCCTTGTAAATGTAAAGACTCTGCCTCTTTGTATCGAGTCCTCTTTGAAACCACCCAAGAATAGCTGACAAAAATAGTGCACAAGTAAGCACAGTGGGCTCAGCATACTACAAGCAAAACTCTTTACTCTGCTAAGCTTAAGTTTTTTTAGTTTTTGGCAGAAATATCATTTTAGAGCTCCAATAAATGTACATTGAAATCATAAGGCTTTTCTCAGCTGAAGATTTACATGGGCCTCCTTTGTATCAGCCACAAAAAGTATTTTAAGAGTTTGGAAATTCTAGAAGCTTTCCTCCTGCTTTACTCAGCCACTCAAGCTTGATCCTCATTAAATCCCCTGACATGTAATATGTTCCAGTGTACAAGAAGCCCTTCATTACTGCCCCATGCTCTGAAGGTAATAAACCCATTTCAAAGGCTGGAGTAGGAACTATTGCAGGTGTTTCCTCACCCTCCACGCTGAGCCAGGAAGGCTGGGCTAACACCATGTGAAAGAGTCCCTTCCAGAGTGACTTAAAAAAAAAAAGCACTTTTAGATTCCAGTTAAGAGGGTTTCTGCTCTCGCAGAAGGTTTAGGAAGGAATTTATCTGAAATGCAGGATGGATGCTGGAAAAACTGAACCTATTTCTAACTCTGACACCACCCTCTGTGGCCGTGGGCTCAGCAGAGGACTCTCTCACATGCCATGGGTGCACACTGAAGGCCACGCCTGAGCCCACAGGTTCTCACACAGCCTTTGCCTCTCCACTGGTGAAATGGGCCTAATGAATTCAAGCAGCACATTGTCAGGCTCTTTTTTTTTTTTTTTTTTTTTTTTTAAATAAATGCAGACCTCTGAGATCTCAGGGGAAAGCCATTCCCTAAAAGCCAAGATTTTCCAGAACAGGTGTATGTCAGACTCAGCTCAGAACTGGGAATATTTCTGAAATACATTTAGAGTGTTTCTGTGTTGAGGTACAGATTTACCTAACACCTTAAACACTATTTTTTAATGTATTTTAAAACGAGGCATCAATATTTTGACTCAGAAAAGCAGCCATATTTGTGAGCACATGTACTGCAATATTAGTAGAACGACAATCTATCCAGGAAGAAATCCAGGTTGCTTTAAAATTGGATAGGATTTTTGGTTAATTATAGGTTCATGCACAAAATAAACATGCATCTGGACCTTTCCCATCAGGCACTTCTCATGGATTCTTGCTCTTTGGTTGTGGCCCTTCCTTACCTGTGTAATTAGGAGGGCAGAGACAAACATAGTTGTTGATCCCATCCACACACGTAGAGTTATTCTCGCAGTCATTATCTTCGCAGTCATCTGGGTTTATTTCACACCTCTCCCCCTCATACCCAAGAAGACAGGAGCAGCTTTGGAGAAAGAAAAAAAAAAATTAATCAATGTTAGCATGGATCTGAAGGAGCAGGAGATTTGAGGTATAAAACCGAAATGAAAACATATAGAAGTGAGTTGTTGGAGCCAGATTCGCTGCTGCTGTGAGCTTCAGGGCACTTTAACCCTGTGTGTTTGGTGAAGGATGCAGTCTGATGGTTCATGGGGTCAGGAAATCATTTACAGGAGACATAAAAGCATCAGCAGGAGCCAGGCTCTTCTGTGTTCCCTTTGCCTTCTTCATTGATAACTCCAGTTCTGAACTGAAGTAAGCAACTCCTGGGCAGGGGAGCAAACACTCATAGCAATATTCAAGTCCTTGGCTTCTCTGTTAATGGTTTAGTGGGAATGTGGACACTTGCCTACTGAGGACTGCACAATCTCAGGGCAACTTGGCAGCTTTTAGGTAGCTCACTCTCTTCAAAGCACAACTTGAACTGAGTTTACAGACATGAGCATTTTCTTCTCGTTACCGCTTTGTCACTTGTCCAAACAAGAAATGCTTGGGAATGATTGCTTTTACAAGTGCAGTCAGGTTTCAGTACTTCTGCACCACCTCCAAAACATCTGGAGTTTGTAGAAGGGCTGATGATGCCCAGATAATTCAACTAAAACACAGACCATGGCAGAGCTGGTAATGGTTCTGTGAGGATGTGAACACCAGTGAAGAATGATTGCACTAAATATTTTATCTCACAAGACTGTGATGTATGGTCCCTAGGGGGAGTGTAACAAACTAAATGGTTGAAGAATGACTTGATTTTTTTTCAATCTCCATTTCCTTTCCTCTCTAGATCTGGGAGCCATGGTTACAAACAGAACCTTTATATTTTAAACTATATGTAAGTGATGAAGAGGTTGAGGCCAGAGTTTCCGAAAAGAAAGCCTAAAAACATGTGTTAAGTGCTCTGGTCATTTCAGTGGCTTGTAAGAAGCCAGGAAGGGTATTTGAAGTGTCAGTTTTGAAGTGCCAGCATTGCTGTTTGCTGATTGGTCACAGAAAGGGTTGTTTCGAGTCCCAGTCCAAACTACACATTCACTCAACTGTTCATTTCCTTTCCCGGGCAAGCTCTGGTGGTAGAAAAGGAACTGAACAAATGTAAAGCACCACTGATGGATGAGGATGAAAACCAGAAAGCACCAGAGCAGTCCCACTAATGGCCATCCACTGCTTTCAGAAAGCAGGAGAACTGCCAGTGCAGACACAACTGCGGGGTACTTTTTTCAGCTCAGATGGACAAAGTGGACACGAGGTGGTTATCCAGCTTTATGGAGGTGTCATGGGGTTGGGATGGGGATTGCCCCGGAGAATTAGATCTTCAGAGTCTATGAAGAAAGCTGCAGGGCTTTTGGACTGGCTGCTCTCAGTGTGACATTGCCTTCCCTCCCTCCTGCGTGCCACAGGCTGAGCAGAGCACAGGGACTCCCACAGGAGGGATGGCACAGAGTTTTCCATCTACACTCAGCAGTCCTAGGCTGGACCCTGAGGATTAAGTTAGATTCTTTATGATGTGCAACCTCAGAAGGGAACAGCAAAGAGGACAAAAAGTGGGAAGGGAATGTGTCTTGAGCCACCACAACAGTAAGGTCTCCCAGACGGGTACAGAACCAGGCACAGGCACAGTCACCTTCATTCAGCTCTGCAGGGACCATCCACAGGTCATGAGAGTTACAAAACCTTCACCATGAATAACCAAAAACCAAACTGCTCAAATAAATCCAATTTAGGACACAATAAATCAATAAGGAATATTTTCTTTTTCTGACTCAAGCTCATTATTGCTAATAAAACATGTCCTCTTGCTGACCCTGCAATGGCCCAGAGGATCACAGCAGGCAGATAAGAAAGAAGAGCTGGCACACCATCTCTTGTGGCAATGCAAGTCAAGGAGGGGGTTAAAGACATCTAATTAAATACAGTGAGACATTCATCATGTCTCCCTTTTTGATTACAAAACCCCATTTTCAGGGGTTTATAACTCAGCCATAAAAATATGCTCCAGGCTGCAAATTGGAAGACAAGGTCTCAGTTTGGGAGCAGAAATTCTTCTCTCCATTTAAAGAAAAGCAACAAGAGTGGCTTTGTGCTGGTGATTTTGGTATGAATATAACACCATTTTCCTTCCACAAAAGGATTGGGACAGCTTGGATGTATGCAATTAAAAATGACATTATTAAATACTATCACAGTAATGGTTCGACTCAGTGGAGTTACCATTAGTAACAATTCATATGGGATTGTTAATACACAACTGCTCAATATTAGGACACATTCCATACTCAGGGAAATGTCAGAATAATTGATGGCATTTGGCCACTGGTCCTTATGTATTATAGGGAGTCTTTACATTATTGCTTACGTGTGATTCTTTATTTTGATTTGCATTCAGATGTGCCAGATACGAGGCCTGAAATTAAAAGATAAAACACTCAACTTGGGACTCGGACTGAGCCACATGTTGAAAGAGCTACAGTTTGGGACTCTTTGTATGTATTCTCCCAGAAAAGGCTTAGAAGAAAAATGAAGTCTGCCGAGTGACTGGAAGGTCATCAAACTTGGGTTCCAGCTGACCGAGAGAGAAAATTAATTCCAGGGACAACGATGAAAACTTTGTAGTGACTCAACAGTGAAGCCCTGTGAGACAGCATTTCATGGGGACCTTGGAAATAATGGAGCCACGCAGGAAAGAAGAGTTTTCTAAGATGATGTGATCACATAAAGGTTCAAATTCCCTATCCCTCCTGTTTTGGGACTGGTGTGTTTTCCCAAAAAAACCTGGACAAAATAAAATCCCACTATCATCATGAAGGTGCAAGGGAACACAAAACTCAATGAGAACATTTTTGGGGTGAACTTTTGGAGCTGAAGTATTTTGTAAGTTTTTTTTAAGCTGACAATTTTGTAAGTTTACTATATTCAATTTTTTTTAATAAACTCTAATGAAATCATTTAACATCTGTTTATTGAAACATATACATTCAGTGTATCAAGTTTCAAAAATAAATCAGCTTTTAAACGGAGATAGTAAATTCTTTCAGGACTATTACAATTTCTTGGTAAAGAAGCTTTTTATGTCTATATCCCAATGGAGTAGCCTGTAAGTCTGGAAGTGCAATGTTTTTCCTTGAACTAGGCAGAATTAACACTAGGCAGTTAATCAGTTCCAGGATTTTACATTTACGAGGGAACTTTAAGTTTGTGGAAAAAGCTAAAAAAAAAAAAACCAACCCTGATCTGGGAAATGGAGGGAGGTTTTATGTGGAGAAAAGTTAAAATAACCCAGAGCAGTTGTTTCCCAGCACCGCAGGTTATCAGAGATCAGCTGTTGCCTGTGGCTAAGTGAAGCAGAGCTGACAGCTCTGCCTCCTGCCAAAGCCTCACTCCCAGGAATGCTAAACCACCGGGACATGTCTGATTGACCATCTTTTTTTATCAGTCTCCATAAGAGACTTTTTTTTTTTCTTTCTTTTTCTTTTTTTTTTTTTTTTTTTTTTTTTTTTTTTTTTTTTTTTTTTTTTTTGGCAGCCTTTTGTCAGGGAAGACGTGGATTAGATCAGAACAAGTCAAAGGGAGGAAGAGCTTGATGTCTCCGGTCCTCTGAGCCACAAAGTGTCACTTATCTGTTCTTAAGCACAGAGTTGGCGCCTACTCCAAGAAAGAGAATTGGAAATTACTCAGGATTGAGAAAGTGCAAGGATAAAAGAAGATGGAATAACTGCAGCTGAACCTTTGCCCTTTGCTGTCCCTCCAGGATCTGCTGTCCCAGCAAACCTGAGCGTCTCAATCCCCTGCTGATCTGAGCCCTTGTGGGGAGCAGGCACGGCGGGGCGAGCTGGGCTGGAATCTCAGCCAAAACTAAGAGTTTCCTGTCTTTGGGGGAACATCACCACCTCAGCATTATTTAAAACGCTACTTTTTTCATCTAAGGCTACAGAAACTTGAGAGTTAAACTGCTTGGCATTTCACAGGGAGAAAGCTTTGGCTTAAGTTTCCTTTTTACAAGAGTAAAGATTTGACAAGTTTGGCAGCAGGGCTTGTGTATGAATATATTTCCCTAGGGAGGAGAATATACAGAAGATATAATTTCTTTTACAGGCCACACAACAAAAAAACACAAGGAGGCCTCCCATGAAAATGTTTTTTGACATCCACTTCCTCACAGCCTATAATGTAAAGCAACGCTTTCCCACCTTGATGAACACAATTTATGTGCATGTAACTCTGACTGCTGCCATCCACTGGAGAGATTTCCCACCAAAAACCCCAACCCAACCAACCAAATTCAATCTCAAAATGTTTCTTTTTCTTCCCTGTCACCGACTGTTCCATCCCCACACTGCATTTCTCTGCAGTCCTCCAGACCCACAGAGGCTGCAGGCTGACTGAATTAAAAACAAGGGGAAAACAGAGCTATGCTGAACATTCAATTTTATGCAGCAAGATTTTGATGAGATACGGTTTTATGTGTCTTTTATTAGACCAACTGAAACTAAATAAATAACTATAAAAGCAGAAACCTTCCCTAAAAAGCCATGAATGCTGTTAAGCAACAAAACCACCCCTGCAGTTTTATAAAGGATCTCAAAAACAATGCTCATTTGGAACTGAGGCAAAGCCTCTGAAATTGTAAAATCCTTCATGAGAAAAATTTAAAAGTAGCTTTTATTTCAGGTCATTCAAACCTTTTTATTTTCTACCACGGGACAAAATAAAAATGCTGAAGAAAAACCCAATCCAAAATATAAACCGAGCCTTTCATTCTCATATTATGGATATTTAAAATGTTTTACTATTGCACTTTTAGTATCAGCTGTATTTTTGAAAAATGAGTACTGAGTGACAAAACCCAGATATTCTAATATGGTACAATTTTGCTGTGGCACAAGCTGATAAAAGTTATCTAAACATTATTCCACGATGGTGACCAGAAAAGGAACTGGAACTGAAGACCACCAGACCTTTATTTCTCTCAAGCAGGAACTAAACATGAACAGTTACTCCAAAAAATTGCTGGACCTGCTAAAATTGAATCAAGAGGAGGTACATCGGATCAGAGCAGTGGTTGGTTTCACCAAAATCTGTGGAGTCTGCCAAGCAGCACAACCACACACAGAGACAGAGGAGCTCTGGGGTATTTTTTCCTTTTTCTGCTTCTTGTTTTGCAAGAAACACCATAAATGCTGAGGACCAGATCTATGAAAATTTCAGCAGCTCTTCTTTAAAAAGAAATTTTGTATGAACTTTAATGACAACCAGTGACCAAAGCCTCAAAATTGTATGTTTTCAGTTGTGAAATAGTGCCTGTAGCAGCACAGATCTCCCAGCTACCTCATGAAAATTTCTGCACTTCTCTTGGAGTATCCCCGCCTATGTTACAACTTTCTTAACCAAGCAAACTAAAATCTGCAATATCCAGCTGCAGAGGTTGTTCTCCTGCAGGCACAACACTCAAGATGTGGCAATCTCCCCATGCTTTTTAATTGTTTCTTTAAAGCCTGTTTGTCTACACGATTCTTCAGTTATGAAAACATTTTGCATCAGGTTGTCAAGCAACAGATGCTCACTTTACAAATACAAAAACAGCTAGATGTGGCATTGAAATGCCCCAAGGAAAATTAGGATACAGATAACACAATGCAGATCAGGGAGATTGCTCAAACCAGCTCTTAAGTGTATATTCCATTAGGAAGAAATAAGGAGGTTTCACAGAAAAAGTCACACCAATGAAACCAGATTAATTATTCTGTATGGCAAATGTGTCACGTGCAGCAGTTTCTATAAAGTAGCCATCACAGCTCAGTAATGCAAAGTACAAACACATTTCATTTAGTCATCTCATTTGAAATGAAATTTGTGCTCCTACCTGAATCCATCTTTATTTGCCTCGGTGAGGTGGCAGGTCCCTCCATTCTGACACGGGTTTTGAATGCAAGAATTGATGGGCACACTGCAGTCTCGACCCTATTTGGGAAAATTCGAAAGAAACAAGGTTAGTAGGAGTCATGCCATCTGAATTGATGTCTCTTGCTCCCTTACTCTACTCATGGCACCACTTACAGGAGGTCTGTGGTCATCAGACCCATCACATCACCTCATGTTCTTTATTGATGATCAGATACATTCATCACTTCAGGGAGAATTTGGGCAGGGCAAGTGTTCTGACCAAGGGGACTGGTGGGTATCTTGGTATCATTTCAGTTTCAAGATTTTAATGAACTCTTCCATTAGGCTGTTTTGAGGAAACAGCTGGTTTCACCATTACTCTAACACACTTTAATGTTAGTCACAATGGAAAGAAAGAATCACAACCAGAGGTAAGCAAAAGGCCACACACAGCACAAGCCCACGTGGAGTCAGCAGTCATCAACTGCATTTACCAAGTGCTCAGTTAAACACTGTAACAATATGCTGTGCTCATTACTGAGAGTTGTCAGAACCCACAGGGGAAAGTTCCTTTATGTTGTGGGAGCTGAGTTTGAATTTCTGCACAGATCACACCGAATCCAGTTTGAGATACCATCACTGAATCTGTTCCTTTCTTAAAGAGTGCCTTAAATCGTACATCAGTTCAAGCTGAGCCTCACCAGCTTGAGCAACCTCCTCTGTTACTTTTTATTGGCCCTTCAAGGCAGACATATTTCTCTGATCATTGTATTCTGCTGATTAGAACAAGATCTTTGTAAAACTGGCAAATACATCCAAGAGTTTGGTCTTGCTTTTCAGTTATTCACAGAGTAGGGTGAAGTAAAGCCACCTGAAAGTCTCAACACTTAAGAGATCTGTGCAATCACAAGAAGTTAAGGGATGGCTCTACTCTTCCTACCAAAGATCCTGTTATCAGCAGCCCTCTGCCGGGTGCCATTGGCCTTCTTGCACCCCTGGGCATACTTTGGCTCGTGTTCAGCGACTGCTGACCAGCACCCCCGGGTCTTTTCTATCCCCCAGCAGCTTTCCAGCCACTCTTTGCCCAGCCTGTAGTGCTGCAGGGCATTGTTGAGACCCCAGTGCAGGATTCAGCCCTTCACCTTATTGAACCTCACAGTGCTGGCCTCGGCCCATGGATTCAGCACTATACATACTGCACTTTGCATGTTGTGTTATACTTTCATCCAACACCACAGAGGAGCTTTGTTAACAGGGCTGTATTTCCTGAGGCTCTGTCTCCAGCATTCCCCAGAGCAAGGAGAAGCAGCTTTGCATTTTAAAAATTCCTGCAAACGCAAGGAAAAGAGGGGCAGCCTTTTCCACAGCTGAATCAAAAGAGAAGCATTTCCAAAGAACAACAGAAAGACCTGGCCACCCCCCTGCCTGGAACTGAGTTGGTGCCCAGCCCAGCAGTGCAGGCAGCACGTGAGGACCTCACCCAAGCCCTGGCACAGAGGCTTTCTGCTTCATCCCTGCTGCCTTTGCCAAGCAGCCTGTCCTTCTCCATTTGAAATCCTGAGTCCCCAAATGTCTCAGGGAAGAATTGGGAAGGCACCGAGGGGAGCTCCTGCAGGTTTTATTTTGGCACCATGTGGCTCCGCAGCACTGTGTGGATGAGAGCCATGCAGCACCAACACTGCTCTGCTCCCACCTTTCTCCAGCACTGCCCCTCTTTTGTCCATCTGTCTTGTGAAGCCTGGCTCTTTGCCACCTTATTGTAGTGTAGCTGGGAGATGCTGGTTATTACACTTCTCCCATGTCCCTGTCTCTGACATCAGTTACTTCTGTTTCATGTGAATTCTTCATCCCTGTATCACTAAAATATTAATCCCTTTGCAGCCAAGCCTGGCAAGAAGCAAAGCATTTGTTTTTCTGGAAGTTTTTGTCACAGTTGAACACCATATAAACCAGTCCCATCCGTTCTACTGTAATTCCTTAGATTATTTCAATATTCTTGTAAAAGTTTAATAAAGATAAATGTTAAAATGAGAGCAAGTCTCTCAAACTGGCACATGAAATTTTGCATGACAGACTCAGCTCTCATTCCTGTACTGAAAATGGCTGAATTATCTGCTTCTTGGGCCTCAGGCAGCATGGAAATCCATCAGTATCTGCTGCTGAACCAGGCTTAATTGCAACACTAAGTTGCTATGTGGCTTTAGGAAAATTAGAGACTCTCTGACTCAGTTTACTCATTGTAATAAACGGGCAAACAACACTTAATCCTTCTCCAAAGATTATCTTCTCTGAGCTGACTTTATCAATAGCACATTGTGATCCCACAAAACAAGTACAACTTCCCGAACACAGAAAACTACGAAAACAAAGAATTCTGAAAGGAGAGAAGCTGCAGAAAATAGTGGTACTAATAAATCTACAGCACAGCAAGGCCACTTTATTTCTATACGAGACTGTCACTACCCAGAAGAGCCCAAAGACATTCTAGAAACATCTTTCAAATGAATAATGCAATTCTCTAGTCTCAATTTACAGTAAGGCTGTTCTTACTGGAAAAATGGAATTGCTGTCAAGCATCACTAAAATTAATTTATCTGTGAGTTGGGAAATACTCCTCGAATTACATTACTTGGAAATAACTATTGTTACAAAGGAGAATATTGCCTGTTTGCTTCAAAACTAAAGTGCCCTTCAATGAAGTCTGAACCAGAAAAAGAGGGGCAGACTTTGTTTCAAGGACAGGCAAGAAGATAAGACTGTCTCAGCAATTCACAGAAAGAGGATGAAGGTCCCTCTGTGTGCCATATTTTACTTCTAGAGCTTTTTTAGGATTCAATAAATTTTTGTCTAGTCTGATAGGAAGGCATCAGATCCAAAACACTTTTATATTTTTTTTCTCATTTTCTGTGGGAGAGGAACGGTTTAGGCGTTGAAACAGGAAATTTCTGCAACTTTTTAGAAGACATATATGTTCAGAGTGCAGCTGTCTTTTCAAAGCTGAAGTAGCTCAGCTGGTCCAGACTTTTTCCAGCTCCATATTTCTGTGAATGAGAACAGAACTATCCACCACACTTATGAAGTGTCAGTTCTTTGTTTGAAATTACCCGTACTGGGCATTAGTGTATCTACAAGCTGTTCCTCAGCACTGCTGTGCCAAATTCCAGCCTTTACAAGTATCCAATACTGGGAACATTTACACCATAATCAGTAAAACACCCAAGAACAAGTAGCAAAAAACTAAAAAGGATCTCAGCAGGAAGAATAAGGGGTAATGCAGTTAAAAAAGCACCCATTTGCTCTGACACTGCTTCAACTACTGCAATGATATTTTTAAAATTAATTTTCACTAATCAGTATTGTCTGTGGAGACTGAGAGCTTCATCCCTGTTCACATGGCAGGGATTTGAACTCTGTCCATCTTACCATGATCCTTCACCCGTTTCTAACAGCAGTGGGCACAGTCAAGAGGCAGCAGCACAGAGCTCACCACGGGCAGAAGGTTGAAACCTCCTGGTGAATAAAACCATCACTGCTGACTGCAGGAGAAACGTGATCCAGGCAGCCAGGAAGACACCTGCAGACAGGCAGAAGTCTGTCCAACTTCAATGGTTTGTGAATAAGGAGACCTCTTTCCAGCTAATTACAGCCCTGTTCAATGACTATAGTGTTTCCCAGCATGCAGGAAAAAAAGAGCTATACAAAAGAAATACCAAAGTTTATTCGAGTTGTTAACAACATACAATGTGTTCATAATAAATTTTATTTAGATGGTATATGTGGAGAACAGATGGGAACGTTCATGTGTTTTGTAAAAATACTAGATGAAGACAAATATAGTTGATAGAGACTTTAAATTAAGAACTAGGAAGTTTTCATAAACAACTTAATTATCAGGGTCTAAATAGAGCTAAAGCTTTTAGTGGAAACACACAAAATTACCAGTTACAAAGATGCTGCACTGCACACTCTGTCCTTTACATTCCTAACAGTGGGAGTAATGCATCCACATCCAACTCTCTGTCTCACAAACATTGAAACACTTGTCTTATGGGTGTCCTGGTCAGAAGTTAAAAAGAAATCATTACATTACAGAGAAAAGTTTAGTAAATCTTCCACTTTGTGACAGGCTGGAAGGAAAATTCACAGAAGGATAAGTGAGAAGTACAACGTGTTCCATGAGCATATTCAGGGATGTTAATCAAACTCACAGCTTTAAAATTTCAACCTCCTAATCTTGTGAAATGAGAATAAATGGACATTTGAAGGCACTATGTAGAGCTGCGCTCTGCTCCCACAGAGCTTGGCAAGTATTTCATCAGCTTTTCTGCACTATTCTGGTGTACAGAGATTTACACACACTCGAGTGCTACAAACACATCTGCATGTGCCAATGGGACCTGCTCGTATGTTGGACCTGCACAGGTCCAAGAGCAGAGTGAAGGGCTGACCATGGTATGTAAACAAGTCATGATTCCTGATTCTTCATATAAAAGAATGAGATGAGAGGAGAGGAGAGGAGAGGGGGGAAAAAAACCCCCAGAAATAACAGAAGACATGGACACTCAGCACAGAAAAAGAATTCAGTTTGAACTTTTGAATGGATTTTTTTTTTTTTTTAGTTTCACTTCTTTTATGCTTAGTAAAGTGAGAACTGTGATCAAAGGTTTTCAAAAGTTATGCCATACAGATGTCAAATAAGGTATAAACTGATGCTAATTACTAATGACATTTTCAGCAGTGTTGTCTTTCACCATCTGAAACCTTTATCCCTCTGTCAAAAATAGTCAAAATTGGAGAGTAAATTGAAATTTTCCAGGCCAGGAAGGGAAGGAGATATGTCACAAACAAAGCTTTATCACATAAACTTCAACTCCAGTGGAGAGTTAAGGTAGGAAATAAGAATGAGGCATTCACAGTTTCCCCTGTGATAAGTACATTTTGCAGCCATGAATACAGAGGGGGAAAAAAAAAAAAACAAGAAGAATTTTGCACCATTGACCAAGGAAACACAATGCTATGAATTCAGCCTCAAAGCCAATACACTAAGCTACAAGTCTGTTAGGGAAAATTCTCTCCAG